ACCGGGCCGGCCGGCCTGGGGGGGCGGCCCGGGCCCGGCCAAGCGCGAGGCTGCAGCTGGAGCCAGAGCAGGGCGGGAGGGGGCAGCCCCCGCTCCCCCCCCGGGGTAATGCGCCGTGGGGAAGAACGCTCGCCTGTCAGGGGCATACTGAGCACCAAACTAGTAACAACAGAAGAAATACAGTTAGAATATGCTAAAAGAGAGGATCCCCAACTTGACAAAAAAACCAAAAAACCCAAACCCAAACACCACCCCCACAAAAAAAACCCTTGAAAATTTAGTAGTTCTCAAGGCCCAAGGCCCCGAGCGACGTATCGGAGTTCGATAGTGAATTCAAGCAGGGTGGTGGACCCAAGGGCCCGCTGAGGCCCCTTCCAACCTGAGTTACTCCATGACTGTACGATCAGCTGAAAGCGCACGCTCCCTCTGTGCTCACACCAACACCAGCTCTTCCCTCTCCTTCACCTGCATTCACTTCCTTTTCTGTCCTTGCTTGGTGCCTTCCACGTTGCTGGCTTGATGTTGCCTTCCAGATTTGTGACCTGTTCCTCTCATGCAGACTTCTATTTGGAAATTACTACAGCTTTTCAGTTTACAATGGCACTTTACAGTCCTGGAGCTAGCTGCAGCGACCACGTAGTGGATTATTCTTTCTGCATTCATATATATAAAAATAAAATAATCACATTGCACCTTTCCAAGATTTTGTCCCCTCAGGCAGTCAAGGGACGTGGTATATGAAATAACAAGCCTGCCTTTGTTTTTTTTACGTCTTCCTCTTTCCAACTACAGGCTTAGGTTTTACTTACTCCACGTAGGCTTGCTGCAGGTGTTACCAGAAGGGATGAGTGCTGCTCTTGCCTCTCCTCCTTACCTGGTCTGTGTACTGGCTGGCAGGAGGAACAGAGAATGTGACCTTGAGGACACACACATCCACATTAATGCTCTCTCCTCCAGCTAGGCATTTCTCTGCAGCTCACATACTGAAGGGAAACAAACTAATGACCTGGCGATTGAAGAGGCGAAGGTTATCATTTGGAAGAAACTTAAAACAGCATAGCAATGTGCATGGAAGAGAACTCTTCGTCCTGCCCACAGCCGCAACCAGACCGCTCCTACAGTACGGATGTGTCTCTGATTCAGGTTTAACCTCTTGTAGCTGTGGACATTTTCTCAAGCGGTGGAGATGCAATCTCTGCAGTCTAACAGCTTCCTCCCGATGCCCACCCCGTCTCTGCAGCTCACACCGCACAGGCACACCAGCAGGTGGAGCTGGCTCACCACCCAGGACCGATATGGGAGGAATTCCTTCCACCGCACTTCGTTTTGCCAGTTAAACTAGGAGAAGGCTTGTTCTTTGACTGCACTTTTCTTTAAGTAGTTGGTACAGGTCCTGGCATAACTTTGGCATTTTACTGGCTTGAATTTTCCCTACTTGCCTACAGAGACTGTGGACGTCTATGCTGATCCAGAAGGAATAACAGATACATGACTCAATGGTATCTCACAATAGTGAGGACACCTAGAAGAAACCGGGATGAAGCTACACCATCATCTCAATGGATTGTTACTGCTCAGGAGAACAAGTCGCGCAATTCCTTCACAAATGGAAGACGTGTATTATTATTCTGTATTTCAGTTAATGATATTGAAGGCAGATGTTGTATCAAAAGCATCACATGATGCTTTTAGAATGACTTCACATTCCTGATGTCTAGTTCAGGTATACTGTTCTTCAAATGCTTCTAAAGGAAAATAAAGACAACCTTCCCCAGTTAAAGAAAGCATAATAGGATTTCTTTTCCAGAAACATTTATTTGTTTTTTAAATAGCATTCTTCCCTTATAAAGCAGCTCTTCAAGTCATGTTCTTTTTACCACAGTGTCTTTGGCATTTTCCTCCTAGAACTTACTTGTAGAGTGGTATAAAATGTATTTTTTTTTTTTTACAGAAAAATAAGTATTTAAACCACAAATTAATTCCCCAAAGTATTAAATAACATACCAAAAACTTTTATCAAATCTATTACATACACTAATGGGACAAAACCTTGTTGTGTATGTGCATAATAACTATATATACATTTTTAGCTTAGTTAAGTTAGTGCTTCAAAGTTATCAACGAAGCTTTACAAAAAATCCAAATGCACAACTGCAGGATTACTAGGATTTGCCACACCATTTGTAGAATTTAACAATGTATACAATACATTGCATTTAAAAACCTCTGCCTGAATATGCAAACCGATGACTCCTTTTTATATTTCTGAATAGTTTGCAAAAAGACAGGATTTTATACAATTACAGAATAAGTCACTTTCCAGATTTCATGGAATTAAGAACTGAATATGATGATAATTATCCCCTATATGAAAACACATCTACTAGTAAAACCAATGGCATCATGCACATCAGAAACTAAAATGCAGTACGAAAATCCAACGGCAAAATGTCACGTCCTTTCAGTTGCACTGAACATGTAATTCATTCCAAAGCAGCATTACTGTAGTGAGCAAGCTCTAAAACAAGAATTATTTCTCTTATTTTTGTCTATGTAGTGTGATACATACATAGAGCGTGCTCGACCATTATACAAGGAGTCCTTGTGTTCAAGGCTTCACATGAGGGGATTCCATCCAGGTTCCTTTTCCCACAGAGAGCTTAAGAAATTTTACAGCTGTTTCTTGTACAGTTTTTTGGTGGGCTCTGTGGTGGACGGATAATTTTAGCTTTCTTTAAACTGTTCCTTTTACTGATGTTGCTGGATGTGAGGGAGTATGAGCGTCCATGCATCATCCTGGCATTAAGGCCATTTGCCATGGAGAAAGATTTGAGATGGCTTCTTAAGGCAACAGGGAGAGGGAGCTTGTCAACAAGATGCACAGGGGTACAGGAAACTATGGCACGGCAACAAAGGTCTTGCAGACTCAATACTTAAAAACAGACATAAAACTTGCATTATAATAGCATGCTTTTGTCAGCCACATGGTAGTAGCATACCCAGCACTCTGCATGCACTACGTACTTCCAGGATGAACTCTCATTTCTCCTCCCACACCCTTTCCCACATACACATTATCCAAAATATCTGCTCCCTCAGTACCCTATTTATGTCTTAATACTTAGATGACTGAGCCTGTAAGTTCTAGGAAAGATCTGTTATTCCCTACAAAAGCAGAATAGGTTATGCCTGCAGACACACATTTTCTGTTTAGAAAACAAATTGTACAGAATTTCTGATTTTTCTTTTTTGATGTTTTTGGATCAGGGTTGAAGTTTCTGAAAATTATTTTATATTAATGAACCATAAAGCTTAGCTAGGACTAAATTTACACATTTTCAGTGTACATCGCTTACCCTTGTTCGGCCTCCAGAGCCTGTCCATTCCATGTCTCATCAATACTATTCTTGCTAGCTCAGTAAAGGACTCTGTAATATTAAAATTGCAAAGTGGACTGACTTCAAAAAAAGTCATGCCCAGCCTCTCAGCATAGGCTTGTGCTTGTTCAGTAGACACTTGGCGCTTGAAGGCTAAGTGAAGGCGATTTCCAACCAGGATTTTTGGTACACCAGGAGCATGCTGAGCAAAGAGAAGCAATTAAAAAAAAAATGTCAATAGTTTGGCTTCCATTTCCCTCTTCCCTCAATTAAAACAAACAAAAGCTTTTTCAAGATTTAAAGACTAAGTGGCAGGCTGAACCAGATGATCTCTAGAGGTCCCTTCCAGTTTAAATTATTATACGATTCTCTGATCTAAAACCATCCTTTCCTCGGTGAAGACAGGCTTGCACAGATGATGTAGCAAATCTATAGCAAGAGTGGGACTACAGTATGAAATCTTTGCCCTCCATATGCTTTCCATCAACACCTTTAAAGAAATCAGACACTGTAGCTGATATGTTTCCAACTTTCTAGAATTAGAAACATAGAAAGAAAATTGTAAACTTGGCATCTTGGATAACTCTATAGTAAGCACTGCCTGCAAATGCCAGTAAAAACAGTAGAAAATATAACAAGCAGTCAGTCTTAGTCATCTGTTACAGACAAGTGACACTCTGGGATTATACCTTACCTCATCTATTTCTTTTATCCATCGATCGATTCCATCAAATGACCAACGATTTGTGATATCATACACAAGTATTACTCCCTGTATTAAAAAATTTAAAATTATAAGTTTAACAGAGGCATAACACAGAGAATACTATCTGTAAATTCTCTAATTCCGAAAAAGATGCTGTGCAACTTCTCAATGGAGCAGAACCTCAGCATCCTGTGAAACCAAGCCCCATCTCTCAGTGCATATTACAGATCATCTGAGGGGCAGAAACCCTGACATAGCTTTAGGGCCTAATGTATTGGTAAATATTTATTTTTATAGTAGACAAGTTTGGCTGATCATACACACATCACAAGTCACAGCAAATAAATATTTTTGGTCACATTTAGTAGCTTGAAGATTCCACGTGCTGTGCAATTCTGGAAAGTAACAGATGAACTCATCAGAACCAACACATCATGAATCATAGCAATACTTTAAAGTCTTAAGCTATAGTGACTTTTATTTTTTAAAGCAATTTTCTTACAAGTCATTAAATTTCATCACATTTTAGACTATGCTTGTATTTTTCACACTACTCTTGGCAGTTTTATGCCATCAATTTCTCTTACTTGGCACACAGTTTTGAAAAGTAGTATTAGCGTAGCTTTTACAGGATCAAAGTAAGATAACATGCTTAAGTTATTGAGGTAACCAACGAGAAGGCATAAGAACATCTATCACTGTATTTTACCCGGATTCAAGTTCAATCTCATGGATTTCCCCTCCCCAAAAGAAAATCCTGCCCCCTGTTATTTCTCGTGTTTCACGTTATCTTCAGGCTATTACGGAATCTGCATGCAGTCCACAAGCGAGCTATACAAGCCATCATGATGGTTTGCTAATTCTGCTTTCATTCACCCAAGAACCATTACTCATAACTGAGAAAGCTGTAGTTCGCTTACCTGAGCACCTCTTGAATAAGACCGAAATATGGTGCAGAATCTCCCTTGCCCTGATGTATCCCTAAACAAAATAAATTACATTTATTTTTAAAAGAATTAGGTGGCCTCTTTTGTTAAGAGTTCAGCTAGATTAAGTCATCTGTACCGATCAGTATCAGCTCTTCTTCCATTAGTCACGCAGTAGCAGTCGCTAATGCATAAGAGCTCTTCTTGCTCTCAGCAGTTCGTCCCCACTGGCGTTCTGCCCTTTCCTCTACATTTCTCAGATTTCTCAGGATAAGAGGACAAGAACTTCAAACTTTACTCTTGTGATTGCCCTTGGAAAACAACATGCTATTGCTCAAGTGCACATATGTCACTAGACTTTGCATTTAGTTCAGCTTGAAGAAAGATTCTGTTTTCACAGCAGGAGAAAAGTGGGAGGAAACAATGGCTATCACCAAGGAAACAAATGGGAAAAGAGTAAATTCTTGATTACAGCAGCAATAGTTCATCATGAGTCTAGTACAACGGTGGCATCCCTACAGAATCATAGGCAGATTTTTAGAAAAGCATGCACCAAAAAAAAAAAAAAAAAAAAAAAAATCACTGCATAAAGCATTTGGAAGCAAAATAAAATTTGTAGTGAAGAACATGATAAGAAGCAAAACTCCATAAAGACTTTTGAGGTAGATGACATTTTCAAATGCAAGGCACATATTTCCATATATGGTCAACCATAGAAACATTTCCAATCTGTTATTTTAAGGAGTCCAAAGAACATCCTTGCCCTTCACAAAAAGAATTAAAACATCTCCTTCTTGGCTGCTTCTCAGATAAGCTTTGTGTGGTATTTTTGCTAAGCTATGTGAAGCGGAGGACAGAAGAAAAAAAGTAGAAAAAGAAAAATAAAATATCAAGTAATCAAGATACCATATGGCAGAGTACCATTATCCATCATTGCATTTAACATTTGAAACATTATTTTTAAAATCATAAAGGCAAAACCAACCAATGCAGAATGAATTAAAAATAACTTAACTTTGACACAAAGGTATCTAACTCCAGTAATTAAACTGGTTTCAAACAAAAATAAACACCAAAATTAATTTTAAAGATGGAAATAGCTCAGGATTGTCTCTTTCTAGGACGAAAAGTATATAATCGTAATAACACTTCATTTTCACCTCCAATGCTGTACTCTATCTGAACACTGCTTGTTCCTAGAACCTGCCTCTCCAATTTATCTAGATTGTGGTTCCTCAAAAATCACACTCCAACTCCTTCCTGTCCT